TGTAAATAATAACAATGTGACCCAAATGTTCCCACTGGTCTTATTACCTGACCCTTCCATCACCTTGATTTCTCCACTCCCTCTATTCTCCTTTAATTAATTGATTATATCAGAAAAAAGGGCAGGGTGCCAACAACACATCTCAACAGGTTGTTACAACAGCATACATTTGGTAATGGCAGTTTGGATAGCTGGGGCTCGCTCATGCTGAAAATAGTGGGAGGAAACCCTTGCAGTTTTTACCTCCTTGTCTTTTAACTGTCTTTCTGGCTCTCTCTGCTTATGCCTATTTTCTAGTGATGCTGCACAAAGACAGTGCTGGCTATAGGCCCAACTTATCTTTTGCTGAAATCAGTAGAACAAGAGCAAGTGTTATCAAATAATAAGCAGCAAACAAAGGAACCTTGGTTTGATTGGCATTACAGAATAGCCCGTCCTAATTTCTTATCATATTTCTTCACCAGTATGACACCTGCATGCCTTGGCAGAACCCTCAGCATCTCAGTGGCACTGCTAAGAGTAGATTAAGTGGAAGATACATCAGCTGGTGCCCTTAAGAATAGCAGAAAGATGATCATGACAAAGCAGAGTAACAGTGATAATGAAGAAGAGGAATTCAATGCAATATAAATAACCCAAGATTTCTTTACAAGAAGTAGTACTTAGAGATGCCTATTTCAAACATCTGGTCAACTCCTAATAATCACAGTGGGTAGATTATCCACACTGAAGGCTATGCCTGAGCACTTGTTTACTGTCAGGCTGGATTGTCTTTCCTGTCTCTCAATTTCTAGGGACACTCATCAGCTGATCATATCTGAGTATTTCCTTTCCTTTACTTTCATGTACATGTAACTGCAAGCAGATAGCAGAACAGGACAAAAGCACTAGATAAGTGTAGGGTGGATGACAGAAATGATAACATGAGACCACATCAAAATTCCTGTGCAGGACATGGTGCATAGTAGGCACTCAAAAAAAATCTGTTGAATTGTGCAGATGAGGTAGAGCAGTTGAACCAGAGGACTTTTAAGGTCTCTTTCTATCTTTGTATCTATGACTCCTCAGAATAAGATGATATAAAGTCTGCAGAGGTCCCAGGAGATGGATGCCCAAACACAACAGAAGCAAGATAGGGAAGCTAAAAGGGACTCATCTCAGGCAAAGATGGACTCTGAATAAGTAACTCAGGACTGATTCAAAGGATCATACCTCAGCATGATCCTTGGTCCTGGGTAATGCCCCCAAATTCCCAGAGTCCAAGGGGACCGAAAAGAAGTTCTCTTAGGATTCAAGGTGCAGGCAAGATCTTAAGTGAAATCTCAGACCTTAACTTATTTGGGACATTTGAGAAGGGGGTGTGTATGCTAGTGGGGGTGGTAATATTCTTTTGAATTTTGCTTTAAGGTTCTGGATTTTATAATGTATTTCTTTTTCCAATATCACAGAAACCTAGAATTTGAGGCAGGAAAGATTATTAGAAGTTATCTAATCTCACTCCAATCCAGTAGAGGAACTCTTTCTACAGCATCTCTAACAGAGGGTCATCCAGTCTCCAGCGACAGGAATCATTTATCCAGAGGCAGCAGCAATGCTGCTGGACAGCTCCCATGTGGGCAGGTTTGTTCTTTCTTTAAATGCTTCTTTCTAAACTAGCTTCTTTCTACTCATTGATGCAACAGAGACCCTGCCTGGTCCCCATCTCTGGGGCAGCTCTCCTGACAGCTAAGGTCAGGAATCGTTTTTTTGTTTGTTTGTTTGTTTGTTTTTTCCATCTTCATGCCTGCTAGCAAACAGCCCTCATTCCTACAACTGCAGAGACATGGTTTGTGGGTGCTTCTCTGACAACACTCTAATGGATGTACGTAGTTCTTCAAATGGCGCTAGCTGGTTGAATGTTGCAGAGTTGAATGCAGTGGTCCAGATGGGGCCTGGCCTAAAGAGAGGAGAATAGGACTGTTTCTTCCTATTCGTTTCTAAATTATCAACACTATCTGTTTAATCATCTATTCTAGAATGATGCCAAAAATGGTCATCAAGCTGCCTGATTTCTTAGACGCCGGGATCCTCTTTCATCACTCACTTGTTATTTGTTTGTCTTCTGCTGGCTGGTTTATCTCCTATGATACCAGTGTAGTCACATCCTGAGCTGCCTTTTACTGTTACTGGTTTGGCACTGGGTAGAAAAATACCCAGGTTTTCCCTAACTTTCTTAAAATGTCTGTTCCTACTCATCATGAATCCTCAATTGACCTGGCTTATGGAGACTCTAAATATTTGTTAAATAAATAATGAAAAAATGCATGCATAAATGAATATCAAATATTACCGACAGGCTTGATCACATCAGTCTGTGACAAACACTCCAACAGGAGCCTGTCTTTTAAACATCCTGGATCATGACCCAGAGAAATAATTTCTTATCAGTATCATCTACCTGATCTAACTGTTCACTTTCATAGTTGCCCTTTCTCCCAAAGCCAAGGTTATAGAGAAGAGAGGCAAACACTATCTGACCCACTGAGTTCTTCAGTTTTCCTTCACAAACTTCACGACCTTGAGAACGATTTTGTTCCAGATTTGTTCCCAGCAGTCACCATGTGTGAACTTGTGGTCAACAAAATTAGACAGTGACTGGTGGTCATGACCAGTCCATGGACTCTGCAGCCTGCCAGGGCTCACAGCCCTAGTGAACACAGGTCCCTCAGGAGGAGGGGCAGCAAGGCATCACTGAGCAAATCTTCCCACTGATGGCAGCGGTAGGATTCTTGCCTGCCACCTGCCAACACCTGTGAAGATCCTTCTCTGCTCTTAGGAGCACAGGCTGCAATGCTTGTGACCACCCTCTGAAAAGCAGAAAGCTTTCATCTAGTATGTTCCTTCAATGATAATGTATTGTTTCTCCTACTTTTTCATGATCTTCCTTTCAGTCCCTCTTGGGTTTCATTCCTCTCTAACCCAGCAGAACTCTTTTATTTTTTTTAAGTTGCATCCAATCTGTTTTCACTTAACAAGTCAGAATGAAGAAAAGTATTCTTCCAACTCTTTCCATTTTTATTTAAAGAAAAGATGAATATGAATTAGCTGCAGGTATGTGATGAACATGTAAGAAAGAAAATGTATTCTTTATATCTCCTGGGATCTCAATTACTCCTAACTCTAAAAGAACTGAGAGTTCATCATGGGTCCCCCATGAAAACTTCTATTGTAAATTGCTTTAGAAAATCCTGTTTTTATGTCTGTTAGCCATATACTTGGGAAAGGTGCTCTAAAAAAATGACTTAGTCACTAGATGGCTAAATTACTAAATTACCTATATCAATCATGAGTTATTTAGTCCACCTACTTGCCCCTGAGACAGAAAGACATTTCTCCTCTCTATAAAGACTTCTAAAAAAAAATCCATTCTATGCTTCAATTCAGTGTTTCATACACTCAAAGTCTAGAGGCTCTTCTTTGGATATAAGCCAAATCCCTTTTACTAGAACTCAAGATCTTTTATCTTTTCTGATCCCCAGTGGATATCATAAAGAAAAAAATAGACACTGTTCCATGTCTGTTTGTCTACAGCTTTCTGCTTGAAGCTCTTTGGAGCTCACCGTTTCATTCAATATTTTTCCAAGCATTTTATGACCACTCTTAAAATCCCCTTCACCACCTGCCCATCACCACCTGCTGAGCTCTTTACATTGTCTTTTTCTAGCTCTTTGACACATAGTGCTTGCCTCACTTGACACCTGCTTCAAGAACTTAATCAGCACATTCAAAAATTACCCCAGATCTCCCAGCAAAGGCAAAGATCCTTTTTGTAACTTACTAAGTCTCCTATAAAATTTTGTAACTTACTAAGTCTCCAGAGGCAAGAGGAAGGTTCTGAAAGCCTAAGGAACCACTTCTTATTTGCCACAACACACCATAGATTTAGGCTCCATGGAGAAACAGAGAGCGTGGTAATTTTTGTTTTGTTTTGTTTTGGTTTGGTTTGGTTTTATTTTGGTTTTTTTTCTGACCAAGAGCGAGGATGGTGAGAGAGCACTGAGGCTGGAGTCAGGAGGGTTGAGTTCTAGGTCAAGCTCTGCATTGACACTTGTAAGCCCCTCACATCCCCTGTCAGCCCTGTTCCCTAAGCAGGACATGACACATATTTGCCTCAATTGCTCCTCGGGCTCCTCCAGCTCTCACATTCCATGATTCTGTGACCAGGCAAAGGACTCGTCTCTTCCACTTCCAAAAACATAAATCATGTCCTTATCATGTCTCTCACACCCACCTCATGGCCAGCACCGCCTAGGCCAGTACTTCTTATACTTTTCATTATCATCATCTTCTCTAAAGGAGTCTTTCAGACATTTTCCCCCTAACTGCCCTACTCAGTTAAATTTTAATACCACACATACACTGTATATTGGTACTGTATGTATATCTGTGCTTAAAACATGAAAGAGCATTGCTCTTTCAGTCTTGCTACCCCAAGAACCAATTTTCACCCCCTTTGAGTGCAATAGTTTCTCCATTGGAAACACATGACCTAGATTAAACTGAGGGCCTTCTCTAACTAAAAGTACAAGTGGAGTTATTCACCCCAAACTCCAAAAGCCACAAATCTATTCACAAGTGAGGGCTTTTGGAAATAATCTATTACACAAGCCAGAGTAGACTCAATCAGGGTTCCCACTTGCTAAGGTAAAAGTAGCTTCCCTTCCCTCCTCCTTGGTCCACATGGTCTTCCAGTGCAAGCCCACTACTGATCCTCCTAGCCTGAGACCTTCAACTCTGCTCACAGTTCCCACTTCCAGCTCCACTTCATTCACATGAAGCCCAGCAGTAACAATGGGAATGATGGAAATGAGGGAAACAACAGGTGATGATGTTCCAAAAATAATTAAAATTCGCTCCGCGGGAAGAAACAACCCAGGTCCCTGGCAGGAATGGAGGTTCCTTCCAACTTGCTGGTATCAGCCCATCTCACCTCCCACCCAGGCCATTCCCCTTCCTCTTACCTTGGCACACTGGCCAAATACGTCACAAGTTTCCGTAGATCTTCCTGTCTTATTCTGTCATGATTGCTGCGAGCAGGGAAGGTAAGGATGGGTCCACCTCGTTTATCACGACCCCCTGCAGGGAGGAGGAAGAGGAAGGAGTTTAAGAAAACCAGCTGGTAAATTGGCCACAAAGGAAAAAGAATTCTGAGTGCTGAATGAACAGGCAGAAATATGGTGCCCAGAGAAATCTGTTTACTGCTTAGGAAAGGAAGGTGGGGGAATTTGAATACAGGTAACATGTATGACCTTGGACAAGTATTTTGACTTTTCTGATGCCTCACCTGTAGGAGGCAGATGAAAATAAGAGTGGACATATTGCTGGGTTTTGCAAGGACTAATAAGATGTCACATGGGGAGGCACTTGGTAAGGTAAAGCTCTCCACAAATGTGGGATGATAAAGAAGGTGGTGAAAACTGTTCTTATTGAGAAAACAAGCTGGTTCAAAGAGCTCTGCAGACCTCTGTGAGGTGGGAGTGCTCATGATGGACTGTCTACTGTGGTCAGAAGAGCTCAAAGCATTCATCCCAGGACAACATTATGGGGAGGTTTTTAGATGTGTAGAAGAGACACTAAGTGTTTTCCACACAGCCAAGAAGCCATCCCTGCCTGTCTGCCTGAGGTGTTGCCTGTCACTCCTGCTGCAGGAGCACAAGAATTCTATCAGAAATAAGGATGTTCAAGGTCTTTATCCCGGCAAATGCATATGTACATACTAGGATTACAAATGTTTTCTAACTATTATGCTTTAAAAAGCTGGAAGTATACCAAAATGACAATCACTGCTGTTATTCAAAGATGAGCATTTCCTTTCTTTTTTTTTTTTTGTCAGTTAGGGTCTCACTCCATCACCCAGGTTGGAGTGTAGTGCCATAATCGTGGCTCACAGCAGCTTTGACCTCCTTGACTCAGGCAATCCTTCTGACATCAGCCTCCTGAATAACTGGAACTACAGGTGTGTTGCCCCTGTGGGGTCTTGCAATGTTGCCCAGGTTGGTCTCGAACTCCTGGACTCAAGCAGTCCTTCTACCTTGGCCTCCCAAAGCGCATAAAGGTCAGGATTTTTGATGATTGCTTTTTCTTTCCTCTACTCTCCAAACTTCCTATTCATTATTTATGATTTTTTTTTTTTTTTTGAGTTGGAGTCTCACTCTGTTGCCCAGACTGGAGTGCAGTGGCCGCTTCTGGCCACCGCAGCCTCGACCTGCTGGGCA